AGTAGTTTAGATAGAGAACAATGTTAAATTGTAACATTTAAAGCTGAATATATTATTATTATTATTATTATTATTATTATTTTTATTATTATATTAGGGAATGCTGGCGTATTGCTCATCAGAGTTAGTATATATATATATATATATATATATATATATATATATATAAAGAATGTCCCTGCTCTGCTGAACAGAGGCAGCTCTTAGGTATATGCAAAAGTAACGTTTTCTACATGCAGTATACAGTAAATTCAACAGACACCATTAAATTGATAATCAGCAGATAGCTTCATTTCGTCCATTCGGTCTATACATCAAGAACAAGACGGACAGAAGTTTATTAATTACTAATTTTTCATACAAAATTTCAGTATTTCTCAAAAATTCGCTTTCTCGTGACAAATATTGAATCCACTTGTCCTCATGTGTGATCTGATCTGGGGTCCCAAAAAACAAATAAGAAAAAAATAAATATCTGAGTTCCAGTGCACTTGACTGTTTTTCTATAAAGTCTTTAAGTTTAATAGAAACCAAGATATTTAAAACCACTTTTTACAACATAGACTGGCATTGAGTGTTAAACATAGTTTTTGGGACAGAAGGTTAGATAACATACCTAAAAACACACCTGTTGTTCTCCCATGACGAATATAGCATCCATACGTCCTTATCTGATGTTTCAACTGGGCTCCTAAAAATCAAATAAAACTATCAATATAGTTCCAGTTCACCTGATCGTTTACTGGAAAGTCTAAAACTATAACAGCACCCGAAATATTTAAAAGCGCCTTCACTGAGTGGATTCATAAAAATGTTATTCTGCAATGATTACATAGCTAAAAGCACACCTGTTCATTTTTTCTTCTATACATGAATAGGACGTCAGCCACAGTTTGCCTTGGGCTGCGGGACTGATTTGAGCACAGGTGTCTGAAATATACAACAGATAAAACATAATAAGAAAAATAAGGTTAACACTGCCCTTTATACGTCTTTATATCATAAGCAACATTTGCTAATAAAAAACAATCTGGCCTTCCATCTTTCATTCATCTTGGTCTTGGATTTTTCAGCTGTAGTTAGATTAATAGTATCGATGGCTTTCCACAAAAGCAACACCCCGATTTTTTCAGAAGTTTCTTCTATCGTGATCATTATTTCATTTGTTGGTGGGATTATGCATATTTCTTTCATATTTTATAAATAACTTATTCAAGTTGAATATTTCGCTTAAAGAAATACACCACACAGCTTATTGTAATAATCAAATAACTTTATTAACCAAACGGTACTAAAATATGCCAAACCATGTGTCAAAAAAGTATGCTCACACAGCAAAAAGTACGTGCTGACTTATGAACTGGTCCTATATAGTGGCATAATCGAACCAGATATCTTCATCTGTTGCGTCGGTTAATATTGGTCTACCAGATAGAGGCTTGTCCAATACATGATGAGTTTGGCGCCATTTTGCTACCAGTTTGGACAATTGACTTGGTGCTGCTTTTTTGTTGCCTTGCAATCTGTCTCTTTGGCACCCCAGCACGATGACTTCCCATTATTTGCCATCTAATTACCTCGTTGAGTCCTCTTCTAACCATTGGTTGGTCCAAAATAACAAATTGTGCCCATGAAACTAGCCAAACTGGAATTTCCTCATGGCATGGCCAAACTGTGTTTTTCGCAAGTGGCACCCCCATCGCATATTCTTTCGTGTCCAACAGTAAATAGTACTCTAATGTCACGGTCCAGTATTTCAAAGTTAAAACAAGAGAAATATCTAGCTACTGTACAAATTTTGCCTCAATAAAAATTTTGGTTGCTGAGAAATTCGAGAAATAAGAAAGTGTTGCCTAACTTATGAGCATCAGTGTACATGTATATGTGATTTACAAGTACATATTGTAAAGGAACCTATATCGGTAAATGGTCAGCACTTTATGTTTTAATTGTGTGCCTCTTTTTTAATATTTGAGCAACCAATCATAACCATGGCATCTCTGTGCATGTTACAGTCGCTGGACAAATGCTATTATTAATACAGGCAACAATTTGCTACATTGTTATTATTGTTAAAACGATTAGGATAGAGGGGTTATATAATAAAAGCGGCCTGGTTTGGCCAAATCACGAACAAACAATATTCCTTGTTACCTTCTTTCTTGCTATGAATGAGACTATAAAAGTTTGTGGTACACTGAGATGGAGGAGACATAAATACCACAATTCCCGGGGCCCTTAGCGGGGGAGGGGGGAGGGTAGGTTTCGAATTCGTAGACCCCTCCTTCAAATAATCTTGGATCCGCTCCTCTTAACTTCAACATATGACAGTGTTATACATGCATACTTTGTATTAATTTTATGTTTAGAGCGCTCCTTCAGCAACACAATGATATATAAATCAATGTTATATCTTGTTTAGATCCTATATTATCAATGATTTATTTCCCATACCCCTATTTTTTCGGCAATTGAGCTTACACCCCTCCCTTTAGTACAGTACTTGTATCATTCAGTAATATCACAAACTGTGAAATAAACTGTCAGAGCTCCATAAAATATAAGTAATAAATATGAAAATGATCAAAAATGCCCCAAAACCGTACTCTTGTGACACATACTTTGAATACAGACAACGTACATATTTGTTCGTATGAAATCATGAAAATGCTTCAAATTTGACCTCATTTCAAATTCGACTCCGTTTTATTTTGACCTCATTCCTTGTCAGATATACGTTATAACCTTTATAACAGAGCAGTGCTTCAGCTTCACAGCGATATGCAAATCACAGTAATACCTTACTTAGATTTCATAATCGTAATACAAAACCATGATACCGCGGTTCACCACCACCAGTGTAGTTAAAATGTGTAGGTCACCAATGGTTTAATTAGTAAGAGATTTTCAATAAGGTACCAAATTTCTATATGAATCTGCTACTGCATTGGGTTCAATTATAGCAAAATCAAAAAGTTAGTCAAATGGGATTCTACAGATACCAAAATTGTTGAACAGCTGTGTGACTTCAATTTTTACAGTATGGGTCGTTGGTTTGGGGAAAACTGAAAAGGTTATGTATAAAGCTTTAAGAAACCTAATGGAAGATTAAATAGAAAAAAAATGAGGCATTCAGCATATTTTCTTGTTCAGATTTTTTTATCTAAGATTGTCGGGTGTCTTATAAGCCCGAGGGGCTGGGTGATCTACTCATATGAGACGTTAATAAATCACGATAATGACAATTCGGACGCTGTCAGCTTTTGATATGATCTACCTGTAAACCACTCGAGGCGAGACCGTTGTCTCATGACATCTGTTGTGGGGGTACATGTACAAAAAAAAAAAAAAAAAAGTCAGATATGAATCAAGACATACATTCCTTGACAATAACATATGGATCTTACATTTTGCTGGTCACTAGCTAAATATGGAAGAACACATCTCTACGGTATGCCCGTATGTTCTCTTGTTGGTGTGGCGTTGCTAATAGCACCTCCTAATGGTCTAGTTTAAACTGTTAGTTAAACTGGCCTTCTAATTGATTTTATCAAAAGCAAATTGAGTACCTATACCTGTCCAAGCCCAACACCAAAGGCTCTATTCCCATAGATTTTAGATCGATCTATCCCCGCGGGGAGTCACACTAGATTACTTTCAGATAATCTGACTTAAATGTCCGTCCCGCCTACTACAAGTTGTAAGGAGGTAATTAACTTTCGTGTCCGCCCGGCTGACAGCTATTTAGCGCGAACCCCCAGGTAGTTAGGTCGATCTAAAGTAGGTCGATCTAATCTATGGAAATGGGGTGAAAGACAAACAAAGGAGTAGGAAGACGGTCAGCTGTTGCCCCAAGACAAACAACTGAAGTAATTATGCTTGTTATAGTTTGGGAGACGGTCAGCTCGTAATGAGTTTTAGTGGCCATTTCCACAGATATTTGGATCGGTCTATCTTCCTGGGGAGTCTCATTAATTGCGATCACCTAACCATCTTAAATGTCTGTCACGGCTGTCACGGCTTTACTGGGTGTGACAGACATTTAAGACGGTTAAGTTGTTAGCAATTCAGTGAGACTCCTCAGGGATATAGATCGATCCAAACAGCTGTGGGAATGGCCTCTTAGACTGAGTTCCCATCCCTAGATCGATCCAACTGTATCGGTCTTACTTCATGGGAATATAGGCTAAATTGCTATCAACGTAAGCGGCTGTCACGCCCACTGATTGACTAGGGGGTACATAACTTCCAAGCACGCTAGGCCTCCAGTCGTTTATTACCCCCTAAAAACTTAAGACGAGGCGTGACAGATATCTATTTAAGCCGCATTTTAGTGAGAATCCCCGTGAAGATATATCGATCCAAATTTAGTACGATAGTCTCTTAGAAAAGTCTCTTAGACTGGGTTCCCACAGATATAGATCGATCCATCTGGAGCGACCTAACTCCCTGGGGGTTCACGCTAAATTGCTGTCAGGTTCCGGGAGCCGAACGCGCAAGAAAGTTAATTACCTCCTTACAGCTTCTAGTAGGCGGGATAAACATTTAAGCCGATTAAGCTGGTCTAGTGAGACTCCCCAAGGGGATAGATCGATCTAAATATCTGTGGCAATGGTATCTTTAGTGACGGCTGTGGGCGGAGTCAGGTGACAGCATATGCGATGGACAGGAGATATTAATTATGGCTGTCCATTGACATAACTCGTATTGGAAGACTGCCATTGATACACCCGAGAGACCGTCGAAGACGGTGGGGATCCGCGCCTGCCTATGACAACGACATTTTGTGAGCTGGGAATGCATCGAAAAATTGCTATTCTCACTGGCCGGAGTAATATGGCTTCCATATTCAAAATCTTCAGTGGGATGTTTATAATTAGTACGATCTCCCTGATATGCATTTTACTGTGGAACAAATTACTACTGGTTCATATTTTAAAAATGAGTTCTACACAGAAACTAGGCGGCTATGCAGTGGGTACTGCTAACCCATGGGTAGCTGTCCCAAGCTTTGAGGTCTTCGTTCGAATGTGTTCAGCTAAAAAGGATATCTATGACAAAATACTCATACCCAGTATGAAGTTATTCTGGCCAAATGATACTCGGCTGGTAGTTGTATTGGATAACGAGACCAAAAGTGATCATCTTTGTGGAGAGGAACTGCGTAACAGGTACCCTTACCCGAAAGTATTTTATGAAAATCCCTCGAAAGCCTACAACAACCACGGACACGATCGACAACAATGGTCGATGTTTTACCCGGAGAATTACACTAACGCTGAATACGTCGGATTTGTGGATACGGATACTTTATTCGTGTCAACTGTCACACCAGAGGATCTCTTCCTAAACGGAAAACCCGTAGTCATTGGAGTTTATGGAAGTTTACTTAATAGCTGGTGGAGAGGGGTAGCCCTGAAGACAAGTAAACTGTTTGGAAAACCAGAGGTTATGAAATGCATGGGGTATTTTCCCGTCATCGTGAAAGTTGAGCACATCGTTAAATTGCGACATTACCTCGAAAAACGACACAATAAACCATTTGATGATATATTTAAAGAGTATACAGTCGTAGATATTTTCTCACAGTTCAACATCATGTGCCAGTATGTATACACATTTCATCGCAGTGAATACAATTTTCGTATTCAAAAGCGTCCGAATGGAAACTGGATGAAAGAGAGCCAAGGCAGGATGCCTTTGAAATTCTACCGTGATAATTTTACAGCGAAGGAACGCACACCTATTACGAGAGTAGCAATCCACTGGCGTTACCACGCACCCCAAAAGGACGAAGTTTTACTGCCTCCGTACAATTTAAAAAGCTACTACCCCCAAGCTCTCCTCGAAGGCATTTGCCACTCGGGTGGGTTTGACATTTGCCCTGACCACTGCAGGTATTTCAATAAAAGCAACATTCATAGAAATCTTTTCAATTTTGAATACTCCGACTGGACGTGGGATCCTGCTTGTGACAGGGCTCAGAAAAAACACTATGCGGATGTTAAGCGTTTAATTGAATATTACAGATTAAACGATATGAACATATTTGGTGAAAAAACAGCTGATGTCGCATGTGAACGTATCTTCAGGTCGGTAAAAGTGGACATAAGCAAAGTTATTCATTAGCAAATGATAAAAACTCAAATTATCGGCCTACACTTCTTATGTCCAGTGTTTGTATATACGTACCTGTATGCTGGTCACGGTAATATCCCACAATTATATTCTGTAGACATTATAAGTGTTGATATTATCTTCATTAAGTCATAAATAATATATGAGCGTGGTATGATACTAAAGATAGTTATGATTTAATTGGAGTTGGAACATACATGTAATTATGCATTATCTTTGTTGTGAAAAGGTGATAGGACANTTACACAAAGAATCTAAAAGGTCGCTTACGTCGTTTTTTTCTTAGCTGCTAGTCGGCGAAGCCTAGCCTCCTCGGGAGGAGACTTAATTAAGTCAGCAAACTCAACTAAAACTCGGTAAATTACAGCATAAACAACAAAAATTTGGAAAGAACATACCACCTAAGCTAATGTTTTACTGTTATTTGAAGTTGTATTGAAATTAAAATAATCAATAAAGTTCAAAAACAAACTTTGTTTATGTTTAAATGATTTATATTGATGATAAACGATCGTTCTCGGTCGAAAAGGGTCATGGGACTTCATGTCTTGTTAAACTTCGGGGATTTTTACACCTTCTTTTCTTGAAGAGTTTCTCGTGCGCGTCGACTACGGTAAGCACACCGAGCTAGGACTTTAGATTCATTGTGAAACACGCCTAGACGACTGCAGCGTAGTCGACCTACCTTGGTCACTCAGCTCGAGCTAGTCAACTACGGATTTAAGTTTCTTTGTGAAACGGGGGCCTGGACTAATTCCGACTCCTCAACAGTACAAGTTTGGATTGATCATTTATATGTAAGGGATGACAACTCTTCATTTTGGTGGGGAAAGTACCAGAAAACGAAACTTTCTTGGGGTTAACGGCAATTTCCCACACTTACAATGGTTTATGAATCCGTTCCAACACTCTAAGTTAATTAATCGATTGTCTTTTTAGGTGTGGTTTTTAAAATGATATCTTAAGATAATTACATGCATTATTGAAATGATGCATGTTCTTTCTTGAGTGAATCGATAAGAGATTAGTACGGAGGCTAGCTATCTTTGAAGGTCCGCGTGATCCGATGGCAGACACAGATATCAGAATAATTACGATAATCACCGTTTCGGCGTTTCACCGTTTCATTATATTTCTGTGTGTTGTTAAATATGTATTTATTGTGGAATTTTGAATTTTAAATGAATATTTATTGTCCCTTTAAGATAACCAATGTTCATGACAGGCATGCATTGGGAACGTTTGAAGATTATGCGCCGAGCTTAAAAGGAAAAAAAAAAATGTCTGAATGTGATTTAAAACGCGCTGCCGGCCCTTAGTATTACGTAATGTTCCGGCCATATATTGATGTCGTAGACTGCATTCCCACAGATTTTAGATCGATCTATCCCCGTGGCGAAATTGCAGTCAGCTTAGCCGGCTTTAATGTCTGTCCCGCCTACTTAAAGCTGTAAGGGGGTAATTAACTTTCGTGCACTCGGCTGACAGCAATTTAGCGTGAACCCCCAGGGAGTTAGGTCGATCCAGATTGATCGATCTAAATCTGTGGGAAACCAGTCTTAGATTGCACATACTGGAATCACCGGAGCCGCAGGCGAATTCCAGTATGTGCACTTATTTCCAACGTGACCCTCTACTGGCTCTACACATATAAGTGATGGTAATTACGTAACACTGAATCATGCCTTAGTTACATAGAACCAAGTGTGGTAAAATTTGACGTAATTTCAGGAAAAATAACCAATAAAGTGCATCTATTTAGAAAATTTGAGGTTAGAATACCTTTGTTCAGGGTATGCTTGGTAAAACCGATGTACGGTACAAGAATATAATGGCGTATTGGAGTTTAATTTACAGTGATAATATTTATTTATATATTTCCTTATATAGGCATTGTGGGTATTTTTGTGCATTTTTTGGGTCACAATATGGATTATCTGACACATAAAACCTTTCTGTCACCGCCACTGCAATAAATTATCCCCGAGAACAACCACTCACACTACGCTAGATAACGAAACTGCCAGAACATGTTTAAGGGGGTAAAAAGATGTCAAGGCACGTCTAATATTACTGTTATAGGCCTACTTAACTCTTTACTCCACTCACCGATTTCAGATCTTGCATACTTTTAGATAGAATCTCTTCGATACGCATTACGATAAGGGAGCCTGTCTCCCACTAACAGAAGTTTATGGTAATTTTCTTTATCGGTATATGGAAATTCATAAAAAAAAAAAAAAAAAAAAAAAAAAAAAAAAAAAAAAAAAAAAAAAAAAAAAAAAACGGTAGCACTGCTGTTTAGGTAGACGTCGCATGTTTCAAATTCTTAAGGCTGTCGTCAAGATCTTCGGCCTTAGACGCAGTTGTTGCAATCTTTCTTTTGTCGGATTAAGTTGTGAAGTTTACTTGCAGAATGGGTGAGTAGTTTATAGTAAATCTATGAAAGATGTGTATTTCATTTTATCATAAGGAATGTTTATTATTATTCTTTTTAAATTAGTCGTTGCGTTGCTGTTTACAATATACTTTGATTTGAACCGGAAACATGGCGTATCGCATTTGACTGTGTGCTGTATTTTTAAATATTTCTTTTTAAATTCAGAAGAACGTCGTACTTTCTTGAAGTAAGCAGTTTCGGTCGGAATGCCGGAATTTTTTCAATTCAGTTCAATGACACACTACAACATTTATTCCTTTTTTCAATTATTCAGATACCAATGCATCAAAAATTATAAAGTTAACTCGTGAAATAATCGAATGACTTTTTTTCCTTTCCAGGAAACTCTCTCTTCTCCGGGTGCAATGTGACAAATGCATATCAGTCAATGTCCGCAGAGTGCTCTAATCCCAATCCGCTGGGGCCATCCCCTGTCTGCACATTCAATCCTTTCTTCCTGTTGTTCACCGCTTCTGGATTCCGTTGTATGTGCCCCCGCGGGACGTTCCCGGCGTATTCGCCTTCCACTTCCTTCAGTCCTAATGACAATCCTGAATATCCAGTCGTGTCATTCTGCCAGTCAGGTAATAATAATAATAATAATAATAATAAGAAGAAGAAGAAGAATAAGAATAATAATAATTATTATTATTATTGTTGTTGTTGTTGTTGTTATTGTTATTCTTCTTTTTTTCTTCTTCTACTACTAAAACTTATTATTATTATTATTATTTTATTATTATTAGCAACAGTAACAGCAGTAAAAGAACTAGTAGTAGTGAGCCTAGCGCCATAATTAAGCCTAGGTCCCAACCGACAGTACGGGCTGCTACATGTACGTGTGGTCTTCGGCCAAACAAATGGGGAAAACGTGGGAGTTCATGTGTGAGGAGCAGGTCCATCGTGCGACTTTTGGGAGGACGCAAACGGCACGTAGAAACTTTTCGACATGATTAACAGCCGCGACGTGCGATTTAGCTACGTCCTAGCCGGACGCAGGGAACCTAAAAAAACCGTGCGTCCAAAACGTAGTTGGGACTCCCCTATTTCGCATACAGCGGCGGAATGGCGGTCCCAAATTCGAACACCACCATTTGCATTTCGCTAAACCCACCACCTCTCTTAAGCCAAAAAATGCAATTTATTCAACTTTTTTTCAGTAAAATATTCTAGTTACTGGAACCAGCTGTACTACGGACGCAGAATGCAACATTAGGGCGACTGACTGCCTGGGCATTGTAGCCCCTTTAACCAATCTTAACAATCCCAATTTAAGGGGAAGGGTGAATGCAGACCTTGCAAGTTTGCTCACGGTAAAATATTATTCACATTATTTCCTATTTAGACAAATAAAAAACAAACAAACTAACTAACTGATTAATTAATCGATTGATTCCATTATTTGCATTAAAATGCAGCGGGTTGCTCTTGCCTGCGTGTTATCTCGTTTCAATATTTCAAATTTGTGACAGTTAACCGAAGAATGAAAACGGCTGAACTTGCCCTGAAATTTTGGAAAAGGAAAGGGGTGTTGGTGGCTTTCTCGTAGGTTTACCCGTGGTAGCAATGATATATACATATGCATTTTGTAAACTATTGCTTTGTTAATATCCTCTTTTCACTTGCAGTCGACAAAAGGTTTTATTTGCAGTTTTAACGACCGTACTACTGTGGATGCCACGCCCGTCTACTTCTGTAACCCTGGCGCAAGTACATGCGCTGCTTACGGCACAAGTGAGTTTTATAGGATTTCATGTACACTCAGTATAACGAGACTGAGGGTCGTGTAACAGAGTAACAGAAAGTCCGCCACCCATTTTGTTATAATGGTTAGCCTGACCATGGATATATTTCCATGGCCAGACATAAGTCTGTCAAAATCTGGGGCGAGGCTTACCTGTACAAATATATGGGAAGCCAGTGTCGGATTTAGAGGGGGGTGGGGGGTCAGGGGGGTCCTGATCCCCCTCTCGATTTCTGGTCCCCTCTTGAATTTAGAATTTGCCTATCTGATTCATAGTTCTAAATCGTAGCAAAAGGCACCCTTCGCCCTCTAAAATACCAAAAATTTCGAGACCCTTTAGCTGGCCCGAACCCCACGCCAAGTGTGTGTTTGTGGATGGGGGGAGAGTCGGCTTCACATTCGCGCCCCCCCCCCTTTCAAATAATCCTGGGTTAGGGCCCAGGGAGCGGTCTTTCTGTCACGAGGGATTTTCCGTCTCGTTTGACCTGGTCTCTCTTAAGTTTTGTTTTGTCTGTGTGATAGGTCTGTTGAAAGGAAAAAGACAGAAGTTTCATCTCTGGTCACACATGAAAGTCAACAACATTTACACACTCCTTTGGTAACAAATAATGAAAACAATTGTAAAGTAAAGGAGTCAACATGGAAAGTGTAATATATAACCATGACACGCTTCAAAGACATCACACGAAAGTGTTTGAAAATGATTAAAAATAATTAAAGGCAACGTAACAGGGGCGGATTTAGGCCGTCTTCTGGGTCTTCCGGAAGACGGTCAGAATTTCAAGTCTTTTCAAGATTTTATATAGACGGGTATCTAACTTTTTCTGTCGGAAGACGGTCAAAAATGAGGATGGATCAACAAAGATAATTTGGAAGACTGTCAGAAAATATCTCTGGATCCGCCCCTGTGTAAGGTTGTGACTTCTGAAGGAGTATTATAGAAAAAAGTATTATGTATATTTTTTTGATGGGGGAATGCATTGCTATTGCTACATGTACAATAAAGTTAAATATCATATCGCTCTTACTAAAATGTCTCGATACATCAACTAAACTTTGAGAAAGAAATACTGGCCCCAGCAACTGAGACAATATCAAGAGTAGGCCCACTAATACCAAAATTCAGGATTATTTGAGGGGGGGGGGGGGTCAGCAGGTGCATTGCCGACCCCTGCCTCCCCCCTCAACGTGTGGTTCGGGGTCCTTCAGGGGCCCCCAAAATTTTAGTATTTTAGAGGGCGAACGGTGCTCTATGGTGCGGTTTAGAACTATGCTTCAGACAGTCAAAATTCTTATTTCTAGAGGGGACTTATCTGCCATTGACTAATGAAAGTCCCAGCTACTGAGATAATATCGTGAGTTTGCCCACTAATACCACTAATGAAAGGTTGGACTTGTTTAGCAGTGTAAGGATTTGATATCAATCTCTTCATCGTATTCTAGCTTAGCTGACTAATATTAAGGTGTCCATGCAGCTGCTGTAACACTCTTCCTGATAGGGTAAAATATGTGCATGTGACCATGTAACGTTGGTAACAAACATGATGGCCACTAACATTTTAATAATATTTGAAACCGGGGCCTGTAAACATTCCATGCATGTCCGTCGCTATTCCATAATTTAAATCAGTTTGTGATCCAGAGCATACGAAAAAATTACGAAGAAATTGGTATTTATAGGAATGTCATAATTTAAGCTATTCGCTATAGAACTGAAATACAATGCAGTCTCTATTCATATGTGAAGTTTACAATGCATTTATTGTAAAACATGGATCTCATACTAAGAGTTGTTATCTCTTTAATAAGTCACGTGTCTTTTACAGGTCCACCTGAGAACACGCCAATCGTGAACGGGACTGTCCTTTTCTACCAAGGTCTGGTTCGGGATTTCCTTCCAATTTTATTCACGAAATATCCCAATGTGGTACCGGACCCGGCCGCAACAAACCGTCTGACGTACCTCGCTCAAAATATTTATGAGACACTCTTGCCGTAATTGCCATTATCCCACTCTTAACGGATAGGCCTATACTAATGATGAATTGCGCTGATCCCGGTTAAGGTAAATTATTTAGTTATAATGGTTAGGATTAGCCTGACGCAGGTTGGTCAAAATCTAGAGCGAGCCTTACCTGTACAAATGAATGGGAAGCGGACTCTCCATCATGGGGAACTCTGTTATGTTACACCATGATACATGTAGATTATACGTTCATTGGGCCTATGGAATATATTGTAACTTAGTAGTCCATCTATCTATCTGCCTGCCTGATTGTATCGTTTCTCTCTTTGTTTATTGTATTTTTTTTTTTGTTTCTCGCTCACTTTGGTGAATACTGAGTATGCGGATAACGTTTTGCGGATACTTTACGTAATTGGTGACATTTTTCGTCAGTTGTTATATTTAAGCATGAGCTATATTCAACCCAAACTGTAGTTAATTTTTGAGATTATTTAATTATGAATGTACTGTAAACCGTTTTTATCGCAATATATTTAATAATGATTAATTTTAGACATGATATATTAGGTGGCATTTCTAAAACCATGTATACACTGTAAAAACAGTGTTTAGCTCCTACACACATTTCTAAGCGCCTATTTTGTCTCATTTTTCGACGCGTTTAGCTCCTAACATGCTTAGCTCCTTGACATGTTACACGCTTTTAGACCGAATGTGTTTAGCAGTATGACGCGTTTGACGTCTAATAAATGTAGGGTGTATTGTTTAACTTTTAGGTGTTAAGGGTTTCAACTGCTTAAGTCGCACACACACGCGCACGGACACGATCGACAGCAACACTGGTTGATGTTTTACCCGGAGAATTACACTTACGCTGAATATGTCGGTTTTGTGGATACGGATACTTTATTCGTGTCAACTGTCACGCCAGAGGATCTCTTCCTAAACGGAAAACCGTAGTCATTGGAGTTTATGGAAGTTTACTTAATAACTGGTGGAGAGGAGTAGCCCTGAAGACAAGTAAACTGTTTGGAAAACCAGAGGTGATGAAATGCATGGGGTATTTTCCCGTCATCGTGAAAGTTGAGCACATCGTTAAATTGCGACATTACCTCGAAAAACGACACAATAAACCATTTGATGATATATTTAAAGAGTATACAGTCGTAGATATTTTCTCACAGTTCAACATCATGTGCCAGTATATATACACATTTCACCGCAGTGAATACAATTTTCGCATTCAAAAACGCCCGAATGGAAAGTGGATGAAAGAGAGCCAAGGCAGGATGCCTTTGAAATTCTACCGTGATAATTTTACAGCGAAGGAACACACACCTATTGCGCGAGTGGCGATTCACTGGCGTTATCACGCACCCCCAGAGGAAGAAGTTTTATTGCCTCCTTACAATTTAAAAAGCTACTACCCCCAAGCTCTCCTCGAAGGCATTTGCCACTCGGGTGGGTTTGACATTTGCCCTGACCACTGCAGGTATTTCAATAAAAGCAACATTCATAGAAATCTTTTCAATTTTGAATACTCCGACTGGACGTGGGATCCTGCTTGTGACAGGGCTCAGAAAAAACACTATGCGGATGTTAAGCGTTTAATTGAATATTACAGATTAAACGATATGAACCTATTTGGTGAAAAAACAGCTGATGTCGCTTGTGAACGTATCTTCAGGTCGGTAAAAGTGGACATAAGCAAAGTTATTCATTAGCAAATGATAAAAACTCAAATTATCGGCCTACACTTCTTATGTCCAGTGTGTGTATATACGTACCTGTATGCTGGTCACGGTAATATCCCACAATTATATTCTGTAGATATTATAAGTGTTGATATTATCTTCATTAAGTCATAAATAAAATATGAGCGTGGTATGATACTAAAGATAGTTATGATTTAATTGGAGTTGGAACATACATGTAATTATGCATTATCTTTGTTGTGAAAAGGTGATAGGACACCAAGGGCAGCTGGTCCCCGTTTCACAAAAAAAAAAAAAAAAAAAAAAAAAAAAAACTTAAGTCGGTTTCCCCGACTAAGAGCTTCGTTACCAACGTAATTAAGTCCTTACGTCACTAAGTCCCGTTTCACAAAGAATCTAAAAGGTCGCTTACGTCGTTTTTTTTTTCTTAGCTGCTAGTCGACGAAGCCTAGCCTCCTCGGGAGGAGACTTAATTAAGTCAGCAAGCTCAACTAAAATTCGGTAAATTACAGCATAAACAACAAAAAATTGGAAAGAACATACCCCCTAAGCTAATGTTTTACTGTTATTTGAAGTTGTATTGAAGTTAAAATAATCAATAAAGTTCAAAAACAAACTTTGTTTATATTTGAATGATTTATATTGTTGATAAACGATCGTTCTCCGTCGAAAAAGGTCATGGGACTTCATGTCTTGTTAAACTTCAGGGATTTTTACACCTTTTCTTGAAGAGTTTCTCGTGCACGTCGACTACGGTAAGCACACCGAGTTAGGACTTTAGATTCTTTGTGAAACACGCCTAGTCGACTGCAGCGTAGTCGACCTACCTTGGTCACTCAGCTCGAGCTAGTCAACTACGGATTGAAGTTTCTTTGTGAAACGGGGGCCTGGACTAATTCCGACTCCTCAACAGTACAAGTTTGGATTGATCATTTATACCGGTATGTAAGGGATGACAACTCTTCATTTTGGTGGGGAAAGTACCAGAAAACGAAACTTTCTTGGGGTTAACGGCAATTTCCCACACTTACAATGGTTTATGAATCCGTTCCAACACTTTAAGTTAGTTAATCGATTGTCTTTTTAAGTGTGGTTTTTAAAATGATCTTTTTAGATAATTACATGTATTATTGAAATGATGCATGTTCCTTCTCCAGTTAATCTCTTAAGAGATGATTAGTAGGCTAGCCATCTTTGAAGGTCCGCGATGGCAGACACAGATTTCAGAATAATTGCGATAATCACCGTTTCGGTGGTAAAATGGAATTCATTATATTTGTGTGCGTCGTTTACAGTGTACTTCTTGTGGAATTTTGAACTTCATATGAAGATTTATTATCCCTTTAAGATAACCAGTGTTCATAACAGGCTTTGCTTTGGGAACGTTTGAAGATTATGCGCCGAGCTGAAAAGGAAAACAAATGTCGCTGCATGTGATTTATATCTATAAACGTGCTGCTGTCACTTTCCATTAGGTAATGTTCCGGCCATATATGTATTAGTGTTTAAGAGTGCACTTAGTAGAATCACCGGGACCGTAGGCGAAGTCCAGTATGTGCACTTTTTTCCAACGTGACCCTCTACTGGCTCTACACATGTATATAAGTGCTGGTAATTACGTAACACTGGACCATGCCTTGGTAATATGGAGCCAAATGAGGTAAAACATTAAGCTTAGAATACGTTTGTTCAGGGTATGTTTGATACAGGGATATAATGGCGTATTTGGATCATGACATATTTCATTAACATTATCATTCTAACCATTAATCATGTGAGATATGATATCTGGAATAAAAAGCACTGTTTATGACAATGTATACCTGCGAGGTGATCATTTGTAAATAAAAGCACAAATAAGTTGAAGTGGGGCGACAAATTGTGTATTTCTAAAATAAAGCGTCTGAAGGAAAGGTTGTCTTTGAATAGACAAATTATTTTAAAGCATATCTCTAAGACTTATGGACAAACGGGTCTGAATTTAAGGGCCATTTTTTATTTGTCTGACACAGGGGACTTTTTTTGTCACTGTCGCTACAATAAATTATCCCCTAGAAGGACCACTCACACTACCGCAGACCTCTGAATCAGTTTAAGGGGGTATTGATTTGACAACGAGCTACTAAACTCGTTACTCCACTCACCGATTTCAGATCTCGCATAATTTTAGATAGAATCTCTTTAATACGTATCACGATGAGGAAGTTTGTCTGCCACTTACAGTAGATTATGGTAATTTTCTTTATCAGTTTATGGAAATTCTTCAAAAAACCATGTATTTCAGACCGAGGGTTTCCCTCGAAATCGACAGTAGCACTGCTGTTTAGCTAACGCACGTTTCAATATCTTAAGGCTCTGGTCAAGATCTACAGCCTTGGACGGAGTTGTTCTTTTGTCGAATTTAGCTGTGACGTTTACTTGCAGAATGGGTGAGTCGATTTGATGTTTACAATATACTTGATTTGATTTGAACTGGCGACATAGCTTATCGCATTTGACTGTGGGCTGTATTTAAAAATTCAGAAAAAAAAAACTTTTATGCTCTTTGAAGTAAACAGTTTTGGTCGGCTATGCTGGTTAATGATGCCTCCGGGGAAAGTGTCTATGTCGAACACAGGACTCCGTGAACTGCTGTTCATTGAAAAGGGACGCTAGTATAGACCCTTTTCATCTTTTACAAAAATAAGAAGTGTGCGTGACAGGTACTGCGACCCACAGGGGTCATTGTAGTCCTCTGCTGTTTCCAGCATGGCAATGCTAGGTGTAGGTGATGTACAAGGTTCGTATTTAAAAAGGCCGTTTGAAGCGTGCACTGGTATGTGTCAAACTAAAAAGGTGGCCGAAGCACAGAAATGCATCAACTGTAGGCAAGAAAACAGAGCTATTTGGACGGAGGCTCGACAAATTGAATTTTTTTATTTCTCAGTTTAAATACGGTGCGCTGAGCAACTAGATTTCACCTAAGCGTCAGAGCCTTGGATGCACTTTCTTAAGTGATGACGAACTATAGCTTCAGAGTTCTTTTAAATGCTTTCGACAATAAAGATATGCAAAAGAGACACGTTATATTTTTTTCATCAAAATAGCCAGTAGACTCGCACACGGCTTTCTAGTGTATGGACAGGTACGTACGTCGTAATTATATTACATTTATATTCTTCGTGTGTCTCTATCAATCTTGATAATTTGAGCCCCATTTGTACACATCAGTAATACGTGACTGGATACAAGAAAGTCGTGAAATTTTTTGAATTCTTTGTAAATAGAAAACCCCGTGTAAAACTTAACAGCTTTTAGTTTCTTTTTCCATAACTTCATGCTTAGTCTTTTCTTTCTTTTAAATCTTCAAATTTTTCTTCAGATCTTTATAATGTTTTTTTTCGCGCATTGTTTTCCTTGAGATCTATTTGCCGATATTTCGTTAGATCCGCTGATTAACTAAACTTTTTCTGATTTTTTATTTAAACACCGTTGACCTCCTAATATTGTAGGTTTTCTTCGCGCCTTCGAAATGTTCGGCGCAAACGCGGCGCACTGCTCTTGATCCAAACCTGCTAAATTTTCCTTTCTTTCTACCGATGTTGTTTACCCATATTTTTCATTCTAACGGGTCTGTTGGGAACTTATAAAATTCATGTGTCGATCTCGCTTACTATAATATAAGCAGCGGGACACACAACACGTAAACCCAGGCATGGTTTTCAGCACCACTGTAAGTGATTCGACATAGCAAGGACTCACTTTCCCTCGATGAAATTTTCAACATGGAAAAGATGAAAAGGGTCTATACGAAGTGGTTAGTGACCTGAGTAAATACCGCCTTTTGAACCTCTAGTTCCACATATAACCGTGCATTAACTTGTAAACACAGTGTGTGTGAGTGTGTGTGCGTGTGTAAAAAGATAATGAAAATAAGCACATTTTCACTATTGAGGTAGGCAAAAATCGGTGGAAAAGGTTTCTCAACTTATTCCGGTTCGTTGAAGCCACCACTGGCTTAATTAGGAGAGAGAGAGAGAATGAGAGAGAGAGAGAGAGTTTTTCTCAGTTCAGTTTACACTACAACGTTCATTGCTTTTTTATTTCAATTATTCAGCTACCAGTACGTCAAAATTATAAAGTTAACTCGTGAAATAATCGAATGACTTCTTTTTTTCCTTTCCAGGAAATTCCCTCTTCTCCGAGTGCACTGTGACAAATTCTTATCAGCCAATAGGCGCGGACACATTATGCACTAATGCAAATCCGCTGGGGCAATCCCCTGTGTGCACATTCAATCCTTTCTTCCTGTTGTTCACCGCTTCTGGATTCCGTTGTTTGTGCGCCCCTGGGACGTTCCCGGTGTATCTGCCTTCCACTGGCTTCTCTCCTACTGACAATCCTGAATTTCCAGTCGTGTCAAGCTGCGAGACAAGTAATTATTATTATAATTATTATTATTATTATTATTATTATTATTATTATTATAAGCAGTAGTAGCGGTAGTAAAAGAACTAGTTGTAGTGAGCCTAGCGTCATAAATACACTCCCGTATTTCGCACAATGCAGTAGAACGGCGAAGATAAGTTACTGAATTACCCCACGGTCCCGAATTCGAACAACACCATTTGTAGTTTGCTTAACCGTTCACCTCTCGTAAGCTAAATGGAATTGTAATTTATTGAAGTGTTTTTCTGTGAAATATTCTAGTTACTGGAACCCCCTGTACTACGGACGCAGAATGCAACATTAGGGCGACTGACTGCCTGGGCATTGTAGCCCCTTTAACCAATCTAAACAATCCTAATTTAAGGGGGAGGGTGAATGCAGACCTTGCAAGTTTGCTCACGGTAAACTATTATTCACTTTATTTCCCATTCAGACAAATAAAAAACAAACAAACAAACAAACTGATTAATTAATCGATTGATTCCATTATTTGCATTAAAATGCAGTGGGTTGCTCTTGCCTGCGTGTTATCTCGTTTCAATATTTCAAATTTGTGACAGTTATCTGAAGAATGAAAATGGCTGAACTTGCCTTGAAATTTTGGAAAAGGAAAGGGGTGTTGGTGGCTTTCTCGTAGGTTTACCCGTGGTAGCAATGATATATACATATGCATTTTGTAAACTATTGCTTTGTTAATATCCTCTTTTCACTTGCAGCCGACAATAGGTTTTATTTGCAGTTTTAACGACCGTGTTACCGTGGATACCACGCCCATCTACTTCTGCAACCCTACCACAAGTCAATGCGCCGATTACAACCCAAGTGAGTTTTATAGGACTTGCATGCACACCCGGTATAACGAGACTGATAGTTCATGTGACAGAGTAACAGACCTGGGGTCCGTATCTCGAAAGGTTCGCTATGTTGCTCACGTGCGCAAGCGTCTCGATTCCATAACTCGCCCATACTCGTCCCATTTAATACATTGTAGCCTCTATTTGATATAGCAATTCTCAATACGCGATGCTTTCGAGATACGGGGCCCTGACCATGGAAATATATCGTGGACGTGGGGCTAGGCTTGCCTGTTCATATAAATGGGGAACATTCTTTCTGCCACGGGGAGACTTTCTGTTTCGTTATACCGGCTCTCGTTACACAGGCTTTTATTTGTCTTTTATTTGAATGTGAACAACGTTTACACATTCTTTTGGTGTCAAATAATGAAGAACATTGGACACTTAAGGAGCCAACATGGAAAGTGTAATAGAAAATCATGAAGTGATTCAAAGATATCACATGAAAGTGTTTGAAAATATTTAAAAATAATTAAAGGCAATGTAAAGTTGTGACTCTACTTCTGACTTAGTATTATAGAAAAAAAAAAAAAAACATTATGATTCTTTTAATGGGGGAGTGCATGTAACAGAGTTGTTACACTATGGTTAAATATCACACCGCTCTTACCAAAATGTCTCGATACATGAACTGAATTTTGAAAAGGAAACACTCGCCCAAGCAACTGAGATAATATCGAGAGAAGGCCCACTAATACCGATAAACACGGAGGGATCCAGGATTATTTGAAGGGGGGGGGGGGGGGGGGAGGGGAGTCAGCGGATGCGATGCCGTCTCCCTACCCTCACTTAGCATGTGGTTTGGGGTCTTTCAGCGGGACCCCCAAAATGAGGTATTTTAGAAGGCGAACGGTGCTATTTGGTACGGTTTAAAACTATGATTCAACTAGTCAAAATTCTTAAATCAAGTCAGGATTAGAAATCTTAATCCGCCATTGACTAATGAAAGGTGCATTTGTTTAGCAATCTAAGATCTTTATATCAATCTTTTCATCGCATTCTAGCTTAGCTGACTAAGGTGTCCATACGGCTGCTGTAACACTGTTCCTGATAGGGTTAAATGTGTGCACGTGACCATGTAACGTTGGTGACAAACATAATAGCCACTAACTCTTTTATAATTTTTGAAACCGTTAACATTCCTTGCATGTCCGTTGCTATTCCATACTTCAACTCAGTTCATGACCAGGAGCATTATCATTATTATTATTATTATTATTATTATTATTATTATTATTATTATTATTATTATTTGCATTATTATTATTTGCATTGTTTGATAATTTACACGAAATAGATTTTTCCAGTAAAATGCATCATGTAAGAAAACATTGGTATTTATAGGAATGTCATAAGGTGTGCGTGCAGTATATTTTTCATGTGTACCTTACAATTAATTGTAAAACATGGATCTCATACGAAGAGTTGTTATCCTTCTAATAAGTCATGTGTCTTTTACAGGTCCACCTGAGAACACGCCAATCGTGAATGGGACTGTTCTATTCTACCAAGGTCTGGTTCGGGATTTCCTGCCAATTTTATTCACGAAATATCCCAATGTGGTACCGGACCCGGCCGCACCAAACCGCCTGACGTACCTCGCTCAAAATATTTATGAAGCACTTTTACCATAATTGCCAATATCTCACTCTTATCGTAATTGCAAGTAGGCCTATACTAATGATGGATAGCGCTGATCGCCGTAAAGTTTTATTGTTAAGTTATAATGGTTAGGATTGTCAATGTAATGCCTTACCTGTACAGATGAATGGGAAGCGGACCTGATATTGTTTTGTTATAATGGGGGTAGCCTGACGTAGGTTGGTGAAAATCTAGAGCGAGCCTTACCTGAACAAATGTATGTGAGGCGGACTCTCAATCATAGGGAACTCTGACACGATACACCAAAATAGACCATTGGACCTATGAAATATCTTTATCACATAGAAGCCTATATTTTAGTTGTCTATCTATCTATCTATCTGCCGGTCTGCCTGTCCGTCTTTGTTTTCGTATTTTCCATTCTTCTTTCGTCTTTTGCTTCTCACTCACTGTGGTGAATATGCGGATGTCGTTTCGCAGATAATTTCATCATTTGTAATATTTTCAAAAGCATCTGCTGTATTCAAAGCAAACTATAGTTTAATTTTTGAGATTTTTTAATAACTAATGTTTTATAAACCATTTTAATCGAAATATATTAAATAATAATTAATTTTAGATATGATATAGTAGGTGGCATTTGTAAAACCATGTATCTGCAAATTATGGATGAGTTAATATATTTCTAGAGATGAAAGAACTTACAATTGTGAACAGAGAAATAAAATCTATATCTGCAGGTATATTTGTACATGTATTTATATATAAAAATTAGATAATAAAATATATATAAGAAGTCATTTTTTGTTACTAAAGCCAACCAAATGCCAGCATATAGTTTCAAATATTATAACTGAGAGAATTACCAAAAGACATTGTTTAATATTACCCCAAAAATGTTTGAACACATTTTTCTGCTAGCTTTTGAATGCTGTACATGAATGGGACAGAAAAGTAGGTCAAATTTCTGAGCAAAAAATTAAAGAAAGGAGCAATCTAAAGCTCCTTTATGGCTGATCGAGTGATTNTGTCTTTAAAAGAGTTCTCCTCGGGACTTTCCAGCCACAAAGAATTTTCCTGGGATAGAGAACAGCATTGAAAATTATTGGTTGGCCCGTTCCTACACTTAAATTTGAAGTCTTATTCGATTTCTAATTTAATATTTATGTTTTAAATGACCAATGTGAAAGGAATGCATGTACCCAAGAAACTTACAGACCTCCGTTCCTGGGAAAACATGCCCTGTGAAGGTGCGTTCCCTAGGATGTAGTGGCCTACCCGGACCTGCCAGTAGCCTAAAGTTATTTGTCAACAAGTTGAAATAAATACATTTCCTTATATGATTCAATATATCAAAAACGTGAATATTTCTTGATTAATTGTTGTGATATGTTATGATAAATATGTTTTAAAAGATTCTAATTTTGTTGTACATTTTTTCAATTTTGTTCCCTGGTTTGTCGACCTTAACGGATATGGACAGAGTTTGTGATTTATCCGACGTCTGTTTTTTACGACATCTAAAAGTTGACTGTTATTATTTAGAAGGGGTGACACACATGTTTTATTTTCTTGAGCAAAGGATAGAAACTTGAGACAACTAGCAGGCTGAAAAACGTTTTAATCCTCAACCATTATAATGTCTTGATCAACGCTGCACAAATTTCACAAGTCACCAGTGCATGAGCATAAAGGTTAACATCTCTGTAAGAGGGTAATTACCTACTCTTGTTAGATACATATTGTGCCGTGATTAAAGGGAATAGGCAGGTATTACTTGCCAAGACAAGAGCAACACCCATCTAAATTTATAGACATTTGAAGGCATCGATGTATCGTCAACAAAATAAAAAGGCCACCAGGATCTCTTTTGTATTTTATCTTCCTAATGTTCCTTAACAGACCCATACAGTTTTGACAGCCATAGGACTTCTGCTAGTGGGTACATGAACCTTTGAAATTCACCATGTTCAAACATGGTTTTGGGGGTGGGGTGCAAAAAAGTGGGGACAGTTCAAACAAGTGTATTTTTGATTGAATGTCTTATGAAGGGTGATATTTAACAAACATATATCTTCCACAGCAAAAAGTCTTATTCACCTTAAAGTGAAACTGTTCGACACATTAATCAAACCCAGCCTTCTATACGGCTGCGAAATTTGGGGACATACTCTAATTGCTAAAAGCCTTAACTCTATCAAATCTATGAACACAGTGCCCTTTGAACATGTCCACAACAAATTCTGCAAATCACTACTGGGAATTCAACATAACAGCAGTAACAAGCCGCCAAAGCAGAACTTGGCAGATTTCCACTTACAAAAAGTGTATATAAACAAACAGCAGCATACCTAAAACGATTTACAGAAGCCCCAGCAAGACAACTTTTAAAAAGGTATATCAAAGTGAAACCCTTGAAGTAAAAACGAATGGAAACTAGAGACAAAATATGGACACAATCTACCAAACTTTTTCCACCAAACAGGCGAAGCGTCCAGATAGATAAAAAATGAAATGAACAAAGCTTTCGACGACCACTACAAAATGCTATTTTTTGAGGAACTAGACAGAGAAAATGGACTACTGAGAACATATAAGCTACACAAATCATCTTATGAAGCCGAAAAATATTTAAATGCTCCCCTGACAAAATAGGAACTCCAGAACCTCGCAAAATTTAGAACCGGGGCCCAAGATCTAGAAATACAGAGAGGCAGATTAAAAAAAAAACACCCCCTTCCGCCTTAAAAGAGAATATGTAGACTTTGCAGACAAGGAGCAGAGAATGAAATATACTTAATAATGCTATGTCCCCAACATGAAAAACAAAGAGAGAATCTTAACCAACAATTAGTCCAAAACACAGACCACACTGAACAATTCAAATCATTAATGCAATACAGAAATCATGACACAATACAAAATCTAGCTAGATACATAACAATATGTAACCAAGAAGGATCTGGTATTCTCTACCAATCACCACCTACTAAATTAGAGAAATATGTATGATATTTTAAAGTCAGTAATGTATATGAAAATACAGAAGGTACTAAATAGGATAATTTTCACCTCTGATAATTGGTGTGTAACATTGAAGTATACACACTAAGTAATTACTATGTAATTGTTTGGTGAAAGCCTTTGTAATATTGTGCAAGAACTAATAAAGATTATTATTATTATTATTATTATTATTATTATTATTATTATTATTATTATTATTAACAAAATGCATTATATATGAATTTTGTAAATATATAAGAAGATGAGGAGAAAATAATCATATAAATGATTTGCATATTTGCTGCTGAAAGAATCAGGCATAAATCCCTTGGGCAAGTATTTCAGCCCAGTAAGGTCAAATTTTGTGCACTCTCACCTTGCTGCACTTGTCTGCTGGTTAGAATGACTGGCATTCTTTTTAAATGGGGGAACGAAGTTGCGAAGGGTCCATAGAAAATTTTCTTGCCAGACACCAGATGGGGACATTCCAAAAATGCTGAAATCACGTGGGTCGCCTTTCAGTACATGATTTCATCTGTCGATTCATCCGTTGACAGTGACCATAGGAATACTCGCATATTTCATGTGTGCCACAGCTTCTTTTTTTATCTTTCTTCTTTCAGAGTTTTGATCACTGGTATTTAAGTGATACTTGATGACTCTCTGCGTCTAAGGTTGCAAACGCAATATGTCTACGAAAAGCTATGATGTAGTCTATTGTGTCTTAGAATTGGAAAACGAACAAATCTGAACCACAATGAGGAGAGTGTGGTTGAATTATAACAAGTGGATAGATCTTTTCTTTGCGCATAATGAAGTTTTGCGCTGCATGCAGGAACCCGATGCTGCTCTTTACAGTGTCTCTTGCGTCACTGAATAATAATCTTTAGCTTCATCGAGTTGTTATTCAACATTCTTTTAGTTGTTATTCAACATTCTTCGAAATTATTTGAAAAGGCATCCTTTTTCATTCCTTCACTGCTAACGAGCAAAGTTATACACTTTGCCCACACTGAAAATCCCAAATCACCAAAACCCAACCTCACCAAAACACAACCAGATGTAATAATTAGACAAGGAGAGCGCCGCGTGTACCGATAGAACAATACCTCAAACGCTGTTACAGGGGCGGATCCATGATTATTTGAAGGGGGTCCGAGAATACGAAGCCAACCCCCCCCCCACCCCATTGGCGTGGGGTTCAAGGAGCCGCTTAAGGGACCAGGAAAAAATTGGTATTTAAGAGTGCGAATGGTGCCATTTTGTACGGCGTAGAACTATGATTCAGATAGTAAAAATTTTAATTTCAAGCGGGGATCATTGGTGTGATTTTTTTTTCGGAAATCGAAGGTGTGGGGTGGGGGGGGTCAAGACCTACGTGAACCCCTCTCTAAATCCGCCACTGTATTACCAGATTAATGTGTAATGGCTTATATCTATGGTGACACAAAATTGTCACAGAGTAGTCCCAACAGCGCCTTTATATATCAAGTGTCTCCATGCGTAATGGCCCCGATGGCGACTGTAAAACGTTTGAGATAATAATATAATATACAATAACGGAAATCCATCACCAGGCCCGTTGCATGGAGGGTTCGGGGGATTAGAAAGAAACGCCCCTTTGGTCGGGAAAAAGGCCATTCTTGATAATATTTGATGTACGTACATGAAGGGTTCATTGTAAAAGGTCCATTGTTTCGAAAAATAACCACACTTTTGAAACTGCTGGCTACGGGCCTGATTATCCTATTGAATTCACGTCATTTTTTGTCTTTAATGTCTTTTCCTATTTGTTTTTATTTTCCACAGTTGCAGTAGCAGATTTAGGGGGGTGTCAGGAGGGTCCTGATCCCTCCTTTGACTTCTGAAAAAAAATCACAACAATGGTCCTCTTTTGAAACTAGAATTTTGACTAGCTGTATCATAGTTCTAAACTGTACCAAAGGTTACCGTTCGCCCTCTGAAATACCAAAAATAATTATGGGCTCTATTTAAAAATACACCTAAAACACTTAATAAGATGAGCGCATTTTTAGTAAAAGCTCTCAATTTTCTTAAGGGGATAACAACAATTCATTTTGGTCATAAAATGGACTTTCCTGAGGGTAAATGACAATTTCCTCATCTTTACCATTGGTCAATAAATGCATTCCGACACTTAAAGTTAGTACCTGTTGTTTTTTCTTAAAGTTGGGTTTTTTAAATATAATCAGTTACGACATCTACTACATCCTTGGAGGTCACGTGGTCCGATGACAAGCACAGATTAAAAAAAAATATGTGGTAACCGTCGTAGATTTTTTCTGTATTTCTGTGAGTTTTTTAAAAAAATGTTTTTATTGTGAAATATAGATCTCATACGAAGATTTGTTATCCCTCTAAAAGTGCATTCATTGTCTTGTCGTTTTAGCACTTTCGTTGTTTACCACTTCAGATGAGACCACTCTACTTGTTGAACACCCAATAAATCGAAATTACAAACATATATAACAATTTCACCGCAAGTTTTATCTTATTTTATTTATTCTGTAGTCTACAATAATCTCTTTTCTTTTTCTAATATTCACACTCAAATATGAGACACGAGTTGGAAAGGCCTAATCTGTTTATAAGCCCTGTCCTTGATACACGTATAGGAATGGCTGGAATGGTGTTCTAGATGTCTGGTATTTTGCCCTGTATGATTGACCAGTTAAAAATTATACTTGCCAGTACTGAAGCATCTTCACAATTAAAAAAGGGAGAGAGCAGGCAATGGTGATATTCCACAAACAGACCAACCAA